TCTTGAACCGGGGAGGCGGAGGTTGCAGTGAGCCGAGATTACGCCACTGCATTCCAGCCTGGACAACAGAGTGAAACTCCATCTCCAACAACAACAAAAAAAGTCAGGTTCCCAGATGGCACACAATATGATTCCATTAAAAAATACACACAAATAGGCCAGGTGCAGTGGCTCACACTTTGGGAGGCTGAGGCAGGCGGATCACTTGAAGTCAGGAGTTCGGGAACAGCCTGGCCAACATGGTGAAACCCTGCCTCTACTAAAAACACAAAAATTAGCTGGGTGTGGTGGTGGGTGCCTGTAGTCCCAGCTACTCAGGAGGTTGAGGAAGGAGAATCACTTGAATCTGGGAGGCAGGGGTTGCGGTGAGCTGAGATCGCACCACTGCACTCTAGCCTAGGTGATGGAGTGAAACTATGTCTCAAAAAAAAAAAAAAAAAAACACACACACACACACACACACAAACCAAAACTGATGAAGAGAAGATTCCATTTTTTACTCTTTTTTTTCTGCATAGAGTTTTTACATTTAGAATGAATTCAGGTATTATGTGTATAATTATTTTTTTAAAGTAAAAAAAGAAAGGAAGGGAGGGAGGGAGAATCAGAGCTAGAGACCATGACCCCTAGTCCCTGGCTGTGAGGCCTGCTCACCATAGGGGGTGGTCGGCCCCAGCTCACTGGCCGCGTCTGCCATGTACTGAGCCAGCAGCTCCCCGTTGGTGACCCTTGAGGGGACCTTCCTGTCCAGCTTCTCATACAGGAACTCCTCCACTCGGGCACCTGTGGGGAGACAGCAGCCAAAGCCACAGGGATCCTCAGTTCAAGCCCAAAGATGAAACACAAACAGACCCAGACCTGGCCCTGCCCACAGGTGCACTCGGCCTGCTGACTTCCTTGCTCATGCCCAACCCTGAGACTGCTGTGATTGACCCAGCACTATATGGAGGAGGAAGCCAGGGCCCATCCACTTCTCCCTTATTAATATGATTACAGAACATAATACATGCTTGCACAATTCTCTGCTCCTGGCACCCAAAAGTTATCTGGCCCCTCAATGAACCACAGATCAGATTTATAGGCAGACACACAGCATGACCCGGAGCCACCCTCCTTTCCCCGGAAGTCCTGCAGGTCACTTCTGCTTGACCTTGGGGGCCTGCCTGGATGTGCTCCGGGCAGTCCCTTCATCTCTGGGCCTTGCTGACCTCTGCAGTGACCAGGTTTGGGCCGGACATGGTGGCTCATGCCTGTAATCCCAGCACTTTGG